TTGCAAGGCACATTCTAAAAATAAAACATGAAAATGTCTAGCTGTAAGTGTAAGTATGTGATGACTGCAGATGTGGATATGATATGCTCAGGAAGAACAAGGCCAAGCATTGACATCCCAACACTGTGGGAAACAGAACAGAGTAAGTGATCTTTTTTGGCCCATAAACCTGACTGAAGTTGTATTTGCAAACAGTCCAACTGTGGAAACTTCTGGGAAAAAACAGCAGGAAGCTGACACTCGTCTAGGATTGTGTGTAACAGAAGTGCAAGCTAACTCATGTTCAGGAGACTTGGGGTTAGCTTTTTTTCCTAATGCTGAAGTGTATTTGCATTTCAGAGAGGTTTAGGGTTGTGTCTGGCTCAAAGGTCACACGATTTTCAAGTTTCCTCCAAGGAGAGGTGAGTTGCACACCAAGTTTAACGTAGTGCAACCTAGAAAAATTAAAAAGTAAAAATGTTTGCTGTAGTGAGATGTGAATACAGGGACTTGTAGTAGATGAGAAGAATTTGCAGGACTCATTTGTTACCTTTTACATATTTTCCGTTGCTGCTCTTGCTCTGTGTATTGTGAACCTACCAGACATGGATGTTTACTGCAGATCAGCACAGTCTTACTAAGATCTACCCACATTCAAACTGAAAAAAATCATCACACTGAATTATCAAAGCTTGTAGTGCAAGCAGCACAGAGTTCTTACTATTGATAACAAACTGAGAGTGCTGCCACGTTCCAGATGTTTTATACTGTGGAATAGAAATCACTGTGAATGATCCTAAGAGAAAATAAGGACTGTGCCACTGATCTCTCTGGATGGATGGATCCATTTTAGCATGGCTGGCTTTTAGGTAACTGAATTAGTACTGGAAACTGGAATGGAAAAAATGGGTAATATAAATAAGTTAAAGCATCCATAATCATAGATACACAGTATCTGCTTAATAATAAAACCAAGGCAGGGACTTAACAACCCTTATAAAATTCCAAATATCTAAACAGAATAGCTGGAGAATTGACATAGTTGACTTGAAAATCTAGAGTGCTTTACTTGTATTTCATTAGAAGAAAGTAATGGCTTAGTGATTGAATAATATTATGCCACATTCAAAAGCACAGTCTCCCACTCCCCCTTCATTTCCTGAAGTTTGAGCTCTGTTTAAATCACTGCAGAGCCACTTGGCACTCAGTCCTATTCAGACATGCCAGTTCATGCACTGCTCTGTGATCCAGCTCCCTCTCACGTGGCTGCAACTGTCTCGCACCTTTCATGCTCTGAAAGGCTTTCTTTGCCTTCAGCTCTGAGTTGACTGGGAGCTACAAATGCACAGCTCAGAGTCTGAGCAGCTGCAGGAGTTCCCTTGTCCAACGCCCAGCTCTCATGCCATACATGCTACTGAATCTCATATTCGACACAGTCCCAAACTTGGAAGCTGGAAAGCTCCTGCAAATCATTGGTCTGAAACTAAAGCAATTCTTCATGGAGTGATTTGTCTGTATTCCACCCTAGGATGTTTATCACAACTTTAACACTGAAGTTCATGGTTGGTGGGAATCTGCAAACTTTTTGATCTGTGTTTTTATGTGTGCTTCAGATTTTGTAACAAGTATGAATAATGACTTTTTCTTCTCCTTTAGTATATTTGTATTTCCACTCTGTGGAGGATTATACAGCAGCATACAACTGAACTAGAGCAGCTCACAAATGTATTTTCAAACTCAATGTGGATTAAGATACAATGTAAGGGATTCCTTACTTGTCTCCACAGTGCTTTTAATTCTTGCACCACAGTCTTATTCTCAAAATACAGAAATCTTTGATTATTGGAACTATATGTAAATAGCTGTGGCTGGGGACTCAGTGTTGATTTATGTAGGGTTGGACAGTACATAGAGTGAAACTGAGACACTTAAACCTGCAGAGGTTAAAGTTTTTTGTAAATGTGAATTTAATATTCTATTTAGCTAAAGTTCCTGGTTGAGGATGGTTCTTTAGGGAACCTGTGATAATTTACAGCATTATAAGGGGAAGTGGTACAGTATTTCCTATTTTTCCTAGCTCTATATGGAGTAATTGCTCTGGCAATTTTACTGGCACTTCTTTCAGTTTACTATAAAATCATATCACAAAAACTTCACATTTTCCCAACAAAATAAACCCCAAAATTTTAATATTTCAATAGATCCAAGGGCTAGAATGACTCCAGCACTTAATCTGGTGGTTACTGTAGAGCTGTTCCAATGCTCCAAAGCTACTGGAGGATACTCTCCTTCACTTATGTTTCATTAGTGTAATATAAGTGTCCTATTGTCTGGGTTTGTTCTGTTATTCTTCCCTTTAATAGCCACCTAAAAGGAACAGCCACTGAAATGCTAAAAATGAGGATGAATGACACATTGTAAGGAAAGAGGCTCTATGCCAAATTCCACACATTTACACTGCCAACATTTATCCACAATGTTGGCAAAGTGGAGAAACACTTCTGAGCTGCTCTGTTATTTATGAAACAGATAATTTTTTTTTTCCTGGTAGGACAATGTTGGATAATTTGATTTTTGTCACCATCAGCTTAGCCACCAGTTTTAGGGTGACATTGGGCAAGACACTTTAACCCATCTATGTCTCTAGTTTCTCCCTCTGGAAGATGGAGGTAAGAGTTACATGTCCCATATTCCTCTGAGCCTGAATTTCAGTTAAGCTCCAGGAGTATATTTTATTTTTATGTGAGGCATTATTGCATATGAAATGAATCGTTTCTTATATGAATTTAATACTTATTTATGATGTGAAATTTGTTCATAAAAGCAATACATGGTGAATTAACTGTTTTTACATCTCTTATACACTGTTAGACAGAATCAGGTTTGACTATTTCCTTCAATTTATTTGACAAATATGACCATACACCCTTAAAGATCCTGTGCCTCATGTGTGTGTCTGCAGTCATCCCAGGATCTGTCTGCACTGGAACTGCCATGGGTTTGTGTCTTGGCCTTTCCCCTCCCCTCTGGCTCCCCAGTGTTTTAACTGAACTGCATTATCCTGTGTACTAATTAAATGTATAGGGGCGGTGTTGTGCCAGAGAATCTTAGTTTATGCAATGATCTCCCCCCTGCCCCTCCTGCCTTCTTGTCCTGAAAAGACCTATAATGCAGCTTTTCCTGGTATTGTAAACTGCCAGCAGAGAGCATGAAGTTAGAAATGTGTGTTCATTGGGTGAGAATGTTGGTTTGAACAACGTGTACTGAGTGTGTGTGCATTGGGAAGTTAATTTAATGTCAGAGATTTCTTACAGAAGTTCCCTCTGAGCAGTGGCCTCAGGCAAAAAAGATAATTCCTTATTTTTTGAGAGGTCTTCCTGACAATAGGTAAGGAAAGCATGTCTGAGGTCAAGCAGGTAAATATTCACTGCAAACCTAACCTGGGGAGTTACACTGCTACACAGAGGCTGGTTTTCTGTGCAACTGGAATATTGCACAGGAATAATCCAGCTGGGAGGGGACAGGGGAGATGAAATAAAAGAACAATTCAATTAGCTGTTCTTGGAAATCCTAGTACAGGTTCTCTTGGTTAACACTAAGTGTGTGTTTGTGCAGGAATGGAGGTCTCTGGGGTCACATAACTATTCATCTTGATATTTGTAGGAAATGGCATTAAGTTTTTTAAATTCCTTGAATAAATATGCAAAAATACTTTCCAGTGACATTCTACATCTGCTACAACTCTCTTCTAATATTTTCCTGGTGTAGTTTAAGCATCATGTAAGCACGAAGAGAAAGGTTTCTGCTGTTCCATGTGGTCAGTTGTTCTAGACAGACTACTTTCAGTTCATATCTAGTGTGCTCAGTCTTCCCTAACAGGCAGACCAGGACTCCAAGGTCCAGGCCACTTATTTGTAATGCTCTGATTGCATTAAAAATGGGGGTAAGTTGAATTTGGTTTTTGATTTGTTTGTTGTAATAATCTAATTTGCCCTCCTATTTTTGCACTAATGTCTGTGTGGAACAGAGAGCATACCAAAGAAGAAACAGCACTTGAATTTATTTTTTATTTCAACTTCCTCTTACACTCTCTTTTTATTCTTATAGTTTTGTTTTTTGAATGAAAATTTTAACATTAATTTAACTTTCAAGATTTTTTAAAAAAAGTTTCACCAAAGTCTTTGTTCTGTTTTATTCCAATACAGTGTTTTCTCTTGTGCATTGTTTGGACTTACTAGAACTTCTAAGCACAAAGTTAAGATTTCTTTTTTGAAGGTCACATACATTCTGCCAACTACACATACTGTTGGTGACCCAGATATCTCCAAGAGAAGGCTTAGAAAGGTGGTTTGGAAGTGTTCTGGGGTTTAGCAACTGCACAGAGTAGAAACTCATAAAATATATTATTTAGGCAGAGAAAGTTCTTTGAGTCTAAAGAAGAAAATCTCTGGGGCTCAGAAAGAAAAGTAACAAACTCTAAAAAAATATTTTTAAATTGCTCAGGGTATAATTCTTCGTGTATGGTTTGCATTGTCTGCAAAGTGCAGTATTTGATTCTAAAATAGAAGCACCTCAAGTAAGTCATTACTTGAAATTAATTTAGTCCTAAATAATTTAGTCAAGTTGAACCATACATAAGCCATACTTTTTTTTTTAATTTACAGTGTAAAGTTTAAAAATACTTTGCTGTGATGGCAGTGTAGAATGTGTACAGTAAGAGGGGGATTTTTGTGCAGATTAATTTTAGCATTTATAGTCTCCTGACTTTCAACCGACTTTTTTTTTTTTTCCAAATTGCAGTCTTAGATTGCTGCAACAGAACATCACCTCTATAAACTGAAATAATGTAATTAAATCTTCTGATTAAATCTTGTGGAGTCTTTGCATACACAATGCTGTCAATTTGAAAGGTGAACAATTCTTAGTTTCCACATGTTTCCCTTGTCCTGAAGCTGCAGCGTGTGGGCATGTGTGTGACTTCACTGCCACAGGAGCTTCTAAAGAAAGATTTCTTGTCCTAGTGCTGGGCTGTTGGACCCTCCTGTGCCAGTGGGACAAAGGACATTGTCGGAGATGGAGTGTGATGGGAAGGACTTGAACACCTGCTGAAGCCTTGGAGGTAAAGAAAGGGGGGATAGAAAAGACAAGTGTGGTGGAGCAGGGTAATGGAATTGCAGTATTGAAACACCCCCTAACATGCTGCTGCACTTTGAGGGTCTTTCTCCTCAAATATGCTAAGAAGAGATTTGATAATATAAAGTAAAAATACAAATAGCTTTATTTTTTATTTTTTTTAAAAAAGTAATCTTAATTAGTTTCTGTAGTGTAGATTTCCAAGACCAGGGGATATAAAGATGCCACAAACTGTATTGTAGGAATTATGTGATCTGTAAACATTACAGTAAAAACTCTCAGACTAACCTTTAACCCATGCTAACACTGAATTATTTTGATTTTATGAGTGACTATATGCAAATGAGTTGGACCTTGTGATTGATAATTCAGTGCTTGACATTACTGACAGTAATGACAAGTCCCTTATGATGAAGGTACACATCAAAATATGAGTGTGGCTAAAACATCAGAGTTGTTTTAAATAGCAAACTTTCCCTTTGGTGTAAGGTACCAGGCAACAAAAGTGTATTTAAACCAACTATTTTAAGTTATTTTTAAGTACAAAGCAAATTTTCCCTTTACAGTCTGGTGCTTAACAATTACTAAAGTAATAAATAAATGGGAATTAAGAAAATATCATCCTTATTTGCAGAAGAGCCAAATGATGTAACAAGTTACTTTTTATTTCAGCATGACCTAATTAGGACATTAAGGCCAGGGTTTCCAAAGATTCATTGACCTTCCTGAAAACTTCTGCTACAAGCACGTGGATATTTAAAATATTTCTTTCCCAAAAGCATACTGTAATTTCTTGGACCTCAATTTAAAAACACTGTGGTGCATTTTTGGGGACTTTGTATAGAGTAAGTAAATAACTGCTTTTTATTAAATACATTTTAATGAAAAGACCAAATTAATAAACAGGACATCCAAACCAAATGCATTTAGGGCTGAGCTTAATTTTGCTTTTGCACAGGCCTCTGCAAACCCATTGATTTGCAAAATGACTGGGTCAATAAATAGCAGTATTTAATGAGATTCTGGAAACTAAATCAACTTCAGACAAGTGAGAGTTCCAGTCTTGTGCAAACAGGTGCAATTGAAGTGGCTGCAATGGATTTGATTACTGACATTTCTTGGGAGGCTGAAAGAGGCTGAGATAAATCTTTTTGAAAGGCTGCACACAAGGGGCAGTCGACAGTGTGTTTCTCCCCAGAATTTTAAGACATCAGTTTTACCTCCTGGGGGAATTTTCTATTTGAAATGTTATAAATTTGCCATTGTTGCACTTGCCAATATTGTGTCAGATTTGCAGCATGAAATCTCCTAACTTACCGTGCATTAGCTTGAACTATTTTGCACATATACAATTGGAAATGATTAAATAGGGTTTCAGTTAAACAATCTTCCCCTGACAAGCTTAAGCAGAGTTCTACTTCAACAAACAAAGCCATTAGGAAGCCATCTGTTTGAAAATGATCTAGACTGTGGAATTTAATATTTGTGTCTGCATTACCTGTTATTGAATTGGTGGCTCTTGTATTCCTAATTATGTGAAACCCACAGGCAGGGATATAAAAATATTGGGATTTTTATAGCAACCATAATAAATTGTTGTGATTACTTGTTTGCTGCTATAAATTGTCAAAACAAGAATCAGCCAGCCTCCTAACTCACATTTCCCTGAGGAGCTGTAATGTCCACAGGCTCCATCATTTTCCTAACCCATAAGTATTTACCTTTTCCTAAGTTAAGTGGAGAAATAATGTCATACACACAGCAAACTGTTATAAACCTCCTGGTTTGTTACCTTTTGCAGTTTCCTATTTAGTACTTTGCTTTGGATGGTATATAAAGTCAATAAGCAGGTGGAAACTGGGTCATAGGAATCTTTCTGGTGCCAAAACCCAACTTAATGGAAATTGTTAAACATAGCTGTATTTTGTAAAGGAGCTTTGCTGTTCTCATCTGACTTTGGCGTAGTATTCTGTATTATGTGTGTTTGAAACAATTGTAAATTAATGCTGAATCCATTTGGCTCTCATCAGCTCCTGTCAACAGCAAACACATTTCACACAGATTGATGTTCCCAGGAAATAGGAGGTCTTTTCTTTGAAATGTTACAACTTTACCTTTACATTTTTATGATCTTTAAATTTCAATGTTCTTAACCTAGACAAGAGCTGAAGCTGTAAAATTTGTCTACAAAGGCTGTTTATTAGGTTAATGCTTACTTCAAAAATTATTAAATAAAAACAGGTTTTTAAGTAGGACTGACAGTTGAATGGGTGATATCTAATGCTGCACAGAAGTCTTAAATTTCCTAGTATTTTCATACCTATCTGTCTCTTAAGACAGATTTTTTTTTTTTGAAAGTTAGTACACAGCAGCTAGGATTTGCTAGAGCATATCCTATCCTACACTAAAATAAGTGCATTCCTTTATGCAGTTGAAATGAAAATCGGGTTTATATCTGTAAGCAAACAAAAAGTGAAATGATGTAGAGAAAATATTTCAGGAGAAATATTGTACAAAACAAGATATTGGAAGATTTTCCACACAGTTTGAAGAATGGTTTGCTTTGAAAAGTTTGGACAGATGAGCAATTTCGTTTGAGGACATAAATACCTTCTCATTTAGTGTGAAACTGGTGACAGTCCTTGAAATGCCTTTCCAAAGCAAAGACAAGGATTTCATAATCTCTGTATCAGAATTTGTGGTAATGCAAATTCATGATATATATTAATAGTTCCTTCATTAGCTTTGATGTCTAACTTTACAAAACATTAAATTTTCTGAGGGCTAAGTGACACGAATTTTGCCATGCTTTAATTTTTTTTTTCCGAGTAATAAGTCTGAAAGAAGGTAGAGTGCTCTGAGTGAGTTACACCAAACCCTGTCAGATCTGATGATAGAAAATGTTTCAAAGTTTGTTTGTCTGTCGGAGTCAGGCTGAGTTAAATCTCTATCTGGAATTTTAGCAAGTGAGTCACAGTGAGGTCTTCAATAACAAATGTTTTGACTGGGTGTCCTAGGTGGAGAAAAATTGGCCACTTAGATCTCACTGAAGAATAATTCTATAGTTCTCTCTTGACCTTACTTTTTTATTGCTGTTTTATTGTTTCCTGTGTGGAGAGGGAAAAAAAACCCCAACCAACATTCACACAGCTTCTTTTATGGTCATGATTCACCACTGTGGCAATCAAGCAAACCTTGGAAGGACACTGAGTGAGGCCTTGCCAGTGCTTTGAAGTGCAGGGCAGGCAGAGCTGTTTGGACGTGGTTTGACTTGAATGTCCTGCTAATGTGTGATTTCCAAAGTTCCTGCTTGTGGTTCTCCACCCAGAGAAAAAGAAGGCAGTGACAATGCACCCTCATACTTTTTTTCTAAGAACACATAAGAAGTACATAATAATGAAGAGGAGTTGAAAATACTAAAAATGCAAATTATTATCTTGAAAAGTTGTAGTCCAATGGTTCTTATGAGTAAAGAAGTCAAGGACAAAATTAGTTACTTATAATGTGTGGAAAGCAATGCTGAATGTTGTCCTGGTATATCTACAAATGGTTTAGTAGTTTGGGTGTAATTTTACAATATGTGGAAGAATATAGACTCCATTAGGAAGAAGTACTTGTCTCAGGCAGGAAATCTTCCTCTGGTATTTGGCTAAAAAACTGGGAAAAATAGACAAGTAACAGCTCAAATTTTGTTATATTATTTAATGAAGAGCCCTTCTGTAATGAAGAGCCATTTGTAAGTATGACTGTATAAAGGGTTTCCTAAAATCATCATAATTATGTTAACTTTTACTGAAAGTGAAAATTTCACAACTGACCTGCAATTTTAAACTGATGCAACAGTGAGAAGAAACACAGGCTTGTCCCAGGCTTTGTAATGTCCGGTGTGCTGGAAATGGGCTGGGTTGCTTTGTTTCCATTCTGTCTAACCCCATACACCTCTCACCTTTGTCATCTGTGTTGGAAGCAGGTTTGTCCCCAGTTCAGTTTCCAGTCAGGATTGTTTGTCTTCTATTCCTTGGTAAATGTGAGACTTTGCTGGCTGCTTGCACATGTCCCTCCCGCCCCAAGGACAGCTGTGGCCAGACATTCTCTGAAAGATTAAACACATCTTTTCCTTTGGGCCCCCCTTTTACTCACTCAGGGTTTATAGTTCACCTCTTAGAAAGATGTGATAGTTGAAGTAGACAAGCACAGGGGTGCTTGATTTCATAAAATCAATGATTCTTTCTATTACCTGGTGTGTATTATATAGATGAGAAAACATTGACACTTCTGTTCCTCAGTTTTGAGTGTGGTTCTGGGCACACTCTGTGCATTCTGTGCCACTCAGCTCTGTACAGAACTTTTCTAGATCATGTTGCACACCTGCCCGTGTCACAATTTTGCAGCCAGTTCCCTTCTCCTTTGACCCACAGTTAACCAAGCACTGCTCACTGTTCCTTTTCCATGCACAAGTTTTCTGTCTCTCTGGGATTCATGGCCTTTCCCAAATGCTTTAGTTTTTGAGGTCCAGTTGTTTCATTTTGGGGGGAAATTCTGTAGCTTCTAACCCTGTCTTGCAGGAAGAGTTTGGATGAATTGATTGCTGTCTGGCTCAGACACCCCATTGTCTTTTTCTTCTCCCTGTGCACTGGGAGCTGCCAGGGTGGGCTGTTTTCCACAGACCCATGTCTGAGACATATGTGACTCAGCCCTGACAGCATATGGCTGATTTCACATCCCCTGAGGTATTTAATGATGCAGCAGTTTCAGAACCACAGCCAGGATTCCTGCTTTGTACACAGATAGATTTCCCACATCGTCACCGATGCTTTTTCAAAGGTATTTTCTCAAGCTGTACTGGTGGCATTCTGCATTTCACACAAGAGTTACTCACCTGCCCCCCTTCTTATGTGTAGAGTATGTAAGAGGTGTTAGAGTGGAATAAAATAAGAAAAGTGAGAATTATCACACCACATCACTTCTAAGTATAAAGGTTAGTTACGAAGCCAGCAGCTGCTTTATCTAAACCTCAAGGTATAAAATCACGGAGTCAGGGAAAGAAGAATCTCACATTGATTATGAATCAGAAACATGAGCAAACCCAGCAGACACATAGAAGGCTTGAGGCTTGGAAGCATAACTGTGGCTTTTGTCATCCCTGAAGCCACAACTTTTTTTCCCCTGCTCTAGTTTCAAAGAGGATAATGGCATCATCTGATGTTTTTGACTTGCACACAGTAAACTTTCTGCAAGGGCATTGGAGCAGTGTCAGTTCTGCTTGGTTCTGGGCTGCCTTTAGTGTGCAGTTGGCGTGTCTAACGCGGGATTCCAGATGGGAATGGTCATCTTGATCCTGGCTTGATTAACCTCTCTGTTATACCAGTTCAGGGGAGTCATCTGGCAGAAGATGATTTCCTTTTTTGTAAGGATAACATTTTGCTGCACTCCCTGAGCTCACTGAAAAAAGTGAGGAGGGTCCTTCTGGCCAGGAACTTGTCAGGAGATGCATGCTCAAGGGAAGGGAATGAGGTTGTGTGACTGCAGTCAAGAGAAGCCCTTTATGCCAGCACCTAAGTAATTGTGTTCCCTTAGCTCCATCATCCCCTCTTCTCTGTCATGTTGAGCATTTTCAAATTAAACTGCTTTCCTTAGATTTTTCCAGACTAACGTACGTACAAACCATAGTGTCAAAAACTCTTTAGAAATTGAATGAGCTTTCAGAAGGAAGAATTACTAAGAGGCAATTTTAAGTGTAATAATTTTATATCAGTGTACATTTTATTGTATCTCCTTGGAATCTCATAACACTAAATATGTTTCTTGCATACGAAGACTATAACTGAGAGTGAGAGAAATTTTAAGCTTCAGATTGTGTGGGATGAATGTTCTGTCTCTGGATCCAACTATCTACAAATTCTAAACAAATATTCCAGGAGGTTGTGTTGCTGTACCCAATATCCACGTGCAATATTCTGAGATTTAGCTTGGCTAATTCTGAATACCATAACAATCCTTAAAAACAAACAACCAAACCGAACAAACAAAAAACCCAAACTCCAAAGGAATAACAACTTAACAAAGATGAAGTTTATTTTCTTGTAGAAGGATTTATGATAATAATACAGTAACTATTAAAAAGAAGATACCATAGAACAGAGATTTTTTTGTAAATCCAGTGTAAACATGGTAAACTTTTTTTTAAATAATTTATTTTTAAATTAAGCTAGAGTGTTCTGTATTATCCTCATTGGAAAAAAAAAAGCTCTGGCAACTTTATTCTTTGAAATGCTGGAATGACCCAAAGGCTTGGAATTGAGATTTGATGTTGGCAGGAAAGTGGCCTGCCCCTTGAGCATGTGCTTTTTGTTATTTCTGTGAAAAATCTACATATTTAACCAGGTTTTAACCCTTTTGGGCATAACTCCTGGTATGATCTCTGCTTGCTAGATTTAAACAGTAAAATCTTCAATAACTGCATTCCCTAATTATTTCCATAACCTCTGTCCCCATGAAGTGTGTGTGTGAGCTCCACAGAGCTGCTGGATGTGCTCTGGCCCCTCTGTCCCCATGAGGTGTGTGCTGTGAGCTCCAGAGAGCTGCTGGATGTGCTCTGGCCCCTCTGTCCCCATGAAGTGAGCTCCACAGAGCTGCTGGATGTGCTCTGGCCCCTCTGTCCCCATGAAGTGAGCTCCACAGAGCTGCTGGATGTGCTCTGGCCCCTCTGTCCCCATGAAGTGAGCTCCACAGAG